ATGCGTACCCCATTGGGGCAAACTCTGGGCAACATGTGGGCCCTCTTCGGCCCATCTTGGGTCTCTCGTGGGCCATAGTTGGGCCATGTTGGGACCCCCGAGGCTCACAGGAAGCGAAAAGGCGAGAGAAGGTAAACAGCACTTCTGCTTTTGATGGGTCGGGGGGCGATGCTCGCCTCTTGGGGGGGGGTCCTGCTGGGGCTCCTGGCGCTCATGGTGCGGGCTTGCGGCCCCTGTTGGGGTTGCTCGGAGGGTTGTCGGAAGTTGTGTGCAACAATGTGTTGTTATATTGAGTCATAGTGGATCCAATCGTTGGACATCGGAGGCCCTTTTCGAGCCATCTTGGACGCTCTGCTCTAGCCCCCGCCCCAAGACGGCCCGAGAGGCCCCCAGCAGGGCCCCGAGACGGTCCAAGAGGGCCCCAAACGGCCCAAGTGGCGCCCGAGATCGCCCAAGAGGGCCCCACGATGACCCCAAGAGGGGCGCAAGAGGGGGAACGCGAATCGACAATTCGAGCCTTCCGCCCCAGGAGGCCCCCTGGAGGCCCCAAGAGAGCCCCAGAGGCCCCCTAGAGGCCCCTCGAGGCCCCCAAGAGGCCCAAAAAGAGGCCCCCAAACGGCCCCCAAGAGGCTTCCAAAATTGCCTCCAAGAGGTCCCCGAGAGGCCTCCTTCCAAGAGGCCTTAAGCCACAACCCAGGCACTGTGGCGGGGTGGGCCGAAGGCCACTTGAGACGGTCCAAGACGCCCAAGACGGCCTCCAGACGGCCCAAGAGGCCCCAAGATACCCTAGAGGCGGTATCTTTGGAATGCAATCACGAGGAGGAAGGCAGGAGGCTGCGGTTGAAAATACTTTCCGCGGCCGGTTTTGAAATATTTTGAGTACTTCGAGGGACAGTTTGCATCTTAGCGGAATGGTGGTCGTTGGCGCCACGATGTGGTCCAGGCATGGCTGGGCGGAGGTTGTGTGTCCGTTGGCGACTTGCCTCTTGCCTTCCCTGAGCATGTTTCATTTTGATTGCTGCGCACAGCAGTGGGCATCTTAGAATAATGGTGGCCGTTGGCGCCACGATGTGGTTCACGCATGGCCGGGCGGGGGCTGTCCCGCCGTTAGCGACCATCACTTTGCATGCTCCTGCGCAGGACCCCCAAACGGCACCAGAGATCCCAAAGACGAACCCAAGAGGCGTCCCGGGCGGCTCCGAGAGGGTCCGCGCCCGCGTTACCCTCCCCGGCGTGGCCCCTGGGGGTGCTTCATATGGTTTCGGTTTCGACGCGGTCACACGTCGCTTCGAAATGGCCTCAGAGGCCTCCGAGACGTCCCAGGACAAGCCAAGTAGTTCCCGAAAGGGCTGGAAGACAGCCCAAGAGGCCCCCGAGACAGCCCAGCACTGCTCCACGCGGATCTTCACGAAGGCACGAGTAAGCAAAAATCGTCAACATCCCATGGAAAAGCATGCATGTTTCAAGCATGGGCTGCGCGTTGCCTTCCAGCGCCCAACAAGGGGCAAGAAGGCCCAAAGATCGTCCCAATCCGCTCCAACTGGCGCCCGAGAGGGCCCCCCGACGACCCAAGAGGCGCCCAAGAGGGCCCCAAGACGACCCGACAGGGCCCCCAAACAGCATTAGAGACCCCAAGGACGAGCCCAAGAGGCGTTCAAGGGCGGCTCCGAGAGAGGCCCGCGCCCACGCTGCCCTCCACGGTAGAGGTCTGGGAGCGCTTCAGATGTTTCCGAAACGGCGCCAGGTCGCTCCAGTATGGCCTCAGTGGCCTCTGGGTCGGCCCCAGAGCGCTCCAAGACCGTTCGCTCACATGCTTGCTCCCAGAGGCCACCCAGAGGGTCCCAAGACGACCCCACGGGCGTCGCTCACGTCGCATCCTGACGGTGACGATGGTGATGATGATGATGATGATGATGATGATGATGATGATGATGATGATGATGACGATGATGATGATGATGATGATGATGATGATGATGATGATGATGATGAGAATGATGATAGTGATGATGATTATAATGATGATGACGCTAATGATGATGATGATGCTGATGATGATGATGATGATGATGATGATGATGATGATGGTGATGATGATGATGATGATGATGATGATGATGATGATGTTGGTGAGGGTGACGATGATGATGATGATCTTGATGTTAATGCTGATTGTGATGATGTTGATGATGATGGTGTTGGTATGGATGATGATGATGATGATGATGATGATGATGATGATGATGATGAGCAGGAGGAGGAGGAGGAAAAGGAGGATGATGATGCGGATGATGATACTAACGATGATGAGGATGGGAAGGAGGAAGGAGAGGAGGATGAGGATGGGGATGAGGATCGGGCTGAGGGCGAAGGCGAGGGCAAGGACGACGTCGAGGAGGAGGAAGCTTAGCAGAAGGCAGGAGGATGAGAAGCAGGAGGAGGCAGAAGGAGGTCATGGTGGATGGGGTGGATGAGGCGAGCGGAGAAGCAGGAGCAGCATGCAGCAGGAGGAGCTGGCAGGAAGGGAGTTGGGAGGAGAAGGAGTTGGCAGGAAAGGAGGCGACGACGACGACGGGGATGACGGTGATGTTGAAGAAGATGGTGGTGGTTATGATGATGACGACAACGGCGGTGACGACGATGACGCTGATGATGATGATGTTGATGATGATGACGATGATGATGGGCATCATCAGCATGACGATGATGATCAGGATGATGAGTATAATGAGATTGATGATGATGATGACGGTGATGAGAATAATCATCATGATGATCATGATCATCATGATTATTAAGATCATGTCCGTGTGGATGGTGATGATGACCATGCTGATCATAATAATCACGAATATCATGATGATCATGATGAATATCATGATAATGATACTCCTCCCCTCCCCCTTTTCCATCTCGCCTCCCTCCTCCCCCTTCCACCTCCCTCCTCCCTTTCCCTCTCCCTCCATCTGCTACTGCTGCTGCTCCTCCTCCTCCTCGTTCTCCTCCCCCTCCTCCTCCTCGAGCGGCCACGCGACTTGCAAACCGGCCTCCCCATCCGGAGCAGCAGGAGGATTTTCTGTTGACGGAGGAGGAGGAGGAGGAGGAGGATCAAGAGGATGAGGACGAGCATGATTTTGGTGTCAATGCCGCTCCTGCTTCTGCTGATGATGATGATGAGGAGGAGGATGAGGATGATGATGATGATGATGATTGTGTTGCTGATAATGCTGATGATGATGCTGGAACTGAATAAAATGATTCGGAGGACGACAACGATGCCGATGCATGATGACGACGACGACGTCGCCGACGACGACTACGATGATGATGATGATTCTAAGTATGATTCCGATCCGGTGATGACGACGATGATGTCGATGACGATGAATGCTTGATGATGACGAGGAGGAGGAGGAGGAGGAGAAGGAGGAGGAGGAGGAGGGGGAGGGGGAGGGGGAGGAGGACTAAGCTGAGGGCGAGGACAAGGACGACGACGAGGAGGACAAGGGAGTAGGAGGCAGGATGAGGACGAGGAGGACCAGGAGGAGAAAGAGCAGGATAAGACAGGAGGATGTAGTGGTGGATGAGGTGGAGGAGGCGAGGAGAAGGAGGAGACAGGAGGATCATGCAGCATGAGGAACCGACATAAAGGTAGGCAGCAGGAAGAGGGCAGCAGGAACATGCAGCGGGAGGAGCATAGTGCGGAGGACAGGAGGAACAATGAACACCAAGCGGGAAAAGGTAGGAGCGAGGAGCCAGGAGAAGGAACATGGGGGCGAGGGTGATGAGGACAAGGAGGAGGGATGAAGGGAGATTACGCATGTGATGTTGACAAGTGCAAGACGAGGGGATGATGATCCTGACGGGGAGGATGAGGATGAATATGGTGACGATCGTGATGCTCACGAGGACGATTGTTTCGAGCCCGTTTTTCGAGCCATTTTCCCAGCGCTGCATACACCCTCGGACATGCAGCTGAGCTTATAACGTTGCGTCAAAAGGTACTCTATTGAATGTTCCAGTGAAGATTGGCACAACGACTACGAGGTTGCTTCCAATGCGCCTCCTAATGGTCCTTTGTGCCGCCACCTTTTTCTGGGCAGGAGCGCAAGCCTTTCAGGGTTGCCAGAATTTCCAGAGCAGAGAAAGGAAACCTTCACATATAACTTTTGATTAGAGGGTCATCCCTGGCTGCAGTAAGACCCACCCGGCCGCGCGCCGGGCCGCACAAGAAACCAACGGGCCGCACAAAGGACCAACGGGCCAGTCGCCCCCCGGGACCCCCCAGGGACCCCTCGCCCCCCATCGCTGGGAAGGGATCAAATGGAAGGGGCTTCCCATCGACTCGATTACGGCATTGCTGGTTCTCTCGCTGACAAGCTTGAGGAGGAGGGTGCAGGCAAAGGGGACGACGGAGACGTCGACTGACGGAGACGACGACTCGAACAGCCAGCCAAGTTGTTCCTCCTCCTCCTCCTCCACCTCATGTTCCTCCTCCTCCTCTTCCTCCTCCGCCTCCTCCTCCTCCTCATCTGCCTCCTCCTCCTCCTTTTCCTCCTCCTCCTCATCCTCCTCCTCCTCATCCTCCTCCTCATTCTCATCCTCATCCTCATCCTCATCCTCATCCTCCTCCTCCACCTGCTTCCCCCCCCCCTGCCCCACCTCCGCCTCCCCCCTCCTCCTCTTCGCCTCCTCCCCGTCCTCCCCCCCATTCCGCCCCCCCTCCTCTCCTCAGCCCAACCCCCCCTTTTCTAGGGCCACCATGAGGGTGCGAAGTTAGTCGCGCTTCGCGGTCTGGGCGATTTCAGATCGAGGCGCGAGTCCTTCAGTATGTTCCATTGTTCCAGGGGGAGGGCGGCGCCAAAGCGCGAAGATGATCACGGTTCGCGGAGCGCGAAGCGCGAAGGTAGTTGCCCTCTCTTCCCTCCGCCGCCTCCCCCCGCCCGCCGCAGCGACGATGACGGGCGCTGCCGGCGGCGACGGCGGCGGCTGCCCCAAAGTTGTCCCGCGTGCTGCCCGACCTTGGCGACGGGCCGCCGACGGCGGTGTGCGGCCTGCGGGGCGGGGAGCCCCTGTTCGCCGCCCTGGAGGCGCTGCTGCCGGAGCGGGGGGGGGGTCCTCTTTCTCCCCCCCCCACCCACGCCTTCCCTCCTCCTCCTCCTCCTCCTCCCTCCTCCTCCGCCTCCTCCTCCGCCTCCTCCTCCTCCTGCTCCTGCTCCTGCTCCTGCTCCTGCTCCTCCTCCTCCTCCTCCTCCTCCTCCTCCTCCTCCTCCTCCTCCTCTCCTCCTCCTCCCTCCTCCTCCTCCTCCTCCTCCTCCTCCTCCTCCTCCTCCTCCTCCTCCTCCTCCTCCTCCTCTGTTTGCCTCCGCGGGTCGCGCCGCAGGCGCACAACGGTCCAAACCTCCTCCTCCTCCTCCTCCTCCTCCTCCTCCTCCTCCTCCTCCTCCCTCCTCCTCCTCCTCCTCCTCCTCCTCCTCCTCCTCCTCCTCCTCCTCCTCCTCCTCCTCCTCCTCCTCCTCCTCCTCCTCCTCCTCCCCTTCTCCTCCTCCTCCTCCTCCGCCTCCTCCGCCTCTGTTGTTTGAATCCTCGTGTTGCACCGCAGGCGCTAACCGTCGATCCAAGCAAAGGAAGCAGGGGGAGGGAGGAGCCGGCGTCGCATACAGCGAACGGACAGCAGCGCGACGCGCGCGAGCCGCAGGCCAAGGGCATTTGTTGGCGCGACCCCGAGGAGGGAGGGGAGAGGGAAGAAGCCAAGAGCGAAGAGGGACCGAGCGGAGCGGGGGCAGGGGGAAGGAGAGCAAGACAGCGAAGCGCAGAGGCCAAAGAGGGGAAGGGCGAGGGAGCGGAGAGCAAAGCATAAGAGAGAAAAAGGGGAGGAGAAGAGGGGGACGAGAGGCAGGACACAAGGCGAGGAACAGCGGGATCCGAACCGACGCGAACGCGACACCCGCGGTTTGGTGTGGCACTTATCTAAGAACTCCCCTTCCTCCTCCTCCTCCTCCTCCTCCTCCTCCTCCTCCTCCTCCTCCTCCTCCTCCTCCTCCTCCTCCTCCTCCTCCTCCTCTGCCTCCTCCTCCACCTCCTCTTCCTCCTCCTCCTCCTCCCCCTCCTCCTCCTCTTCCTCTTCCATTCCTTTGCCGTATGAGTAACTCCTCTCTGTCGCAGCCCGGGGCCGCTCGAAATGGCAGGCCGGGCGTGTTGCTTAAGATTTCCTCACCACTTATGACTTTGAAGTTTGAAATTCCCAAGAGTTTCACATAGGAGGGCGGTCCGCTTTCAACATGTGGCTCTCGCCTTAGCGCCACGCACACTCGTCTTAGAAATTGACAAGAGCTTCACGGATGGAGGGCTGTGCGTTTTCAAAGTGTTGTTCTCGCCTTAGCGCCGCGCATATTCGATTCTTTAAATTCGCAAGAGTGTCAGTGAGTGAGGGCGGTTTGTGAAGAGTTCACAAAAGTCTCAAGGATGCTCATGGTCAACGTCCTAGATATTGTATTTAGGGGCATTTGGACACGATGTTGGAATATCAGGGCGCAAGAGTCACGTTGATTCGCGGCGTTGAGGTCCCAGGAATGCTGTTCTGGCACGGCTCATGATCGTCAGGACGCAACAGTGGCGGTGATGTGCGGCATTGAAGTCCCAGGGATGGCGTTCTGGCAGAATTCCGGATTTTCAAACCGTTGTCTTCCGACGAGGCATTCCCCTCAGTGAAATGAGTCCGTGCAGGAGCTTATGAAGAGGAAATTTGGGGGGAGGGTTTATTGCAATATCATTGAAAATTCTTGGGTTTACGCTGGTCCTCCTCCTCCTCCTCCTCCTCCTCATCTTCCTCTTCCTCCTCCTCCTCCTCCTCCTCCTCCTCCTCCTCCTCCTCCTCCTCCTCCTCCTCCTCCTCCTCCTCCTCCCCCCCTCCTCCTCCTCCTCCTCCTCCTCCTCCTCCTCCTCCTCCTCCTCCTCATCCTCCTCCTCATCCTCCTCTCTTTCCTCCCAAAATGAGGATCCGTTATATGTTAGATAAGGCGTAGGTATGGCGTTGCTTGTGGCTAAGCTCGATTTCGAGTGTGGTCCTGGTGCCACCCCTGATTTGAGTGTCACCTCAGTCCCGCGAGTTTTCTCGGACGCTCCCACCCCCCTCGCTCATGAGCAGAGAATGGCGGCCCTTTGTCGCCATACTTAAAGCTAAACACGAGGCAAGGGCTTCAGGGGTGATTTCACTCTGGTCGATATCCCCATGATACTTGTGCGTTCACCTCCCGACCTTTCAATGCGATGTCCATCCATCCATTTTCCCTTTCCTTCTCCTCCTCCTCCTCCCTCCTCCTCCTCCTCCTCCTCCTCCTCCTCCTCCTCCTCCCTCTTCCTCCTCCTCATCATCATCATCCTCATCCTCATCCTCATCCTCATCTTAATTATTCTTGCATTCCTGTGATTCATCCTCCCCCTCCCACTCCGTTGCCGCTGGAGTGTTCTGTTTTTGGTGAAGGAGCGCCTTGTCGGTGGGCCCTGGCGGGGCTTGTCATCGGACAGGTGCCCCCCCCTCCACGGATTTCCGTATGTCCTTTCGGACCGCCCCTCTGTGGGTGGTGAGTCTCTTCCGCTGCCCTGGCATGCGGGAGTGCGTGCGCAGCCCAGCGGGCAGACGAGGCCTCCAGGGAGCCTGGTGGGACTTAGGGGCGCTGCTGCCTGAGCGGGGGAGACGGGGGGGGGGACCCAGAAGCATCGCACAAGCATTGGGAAGGCTTGGGGTTGCGCACGGATCGGTCGTGGAGGTAGTTCTGGCGGGCGTCAACGCAGGAGGAGGAGGAGGAGGAGGAGGAGGAGGAGGAGGAGGAGGAGGAGGAGGAGGAGTGCCTCCGCAAGGCAAAGTCAATGTAACGTAAAAGGATGAGTGGGAGGAGGAGGAGGAGGCGGCGGAGGAGGAGGACGAGGAGGAGGAGGAGGAGGAGGGGGAGGAGGAGCTGCAGAATAGAGGTTGTCCCCGAACGGCGCTATAAGGAAGTGCTCCTTTGTGTCGCGGTCGGCCGTTGTCTCGCTGGTGCCCTTTGCGTGAGTGAAGTGCCTTATGGCTGGTGCCGTGTGATCGGTGCCCTGTGGTTGTTCCCCTGTGGTTTGTGCTCTTTGGTGCCCTGGCAGCCGCGGTTTACGAATTACGCCACACGATTCCCACGCATCGGAAACGCAAGGATCTACTGTCTGAGGTCCGAAGGCTGGCATCATTTGATGCTTTTGGCCGTTTGGGGGCCCCTGGACGCGTCCAAAAGCAGACGCCACCAGAGACCTTCGCGGGGCCCTTGGAGGCCTTCGGAGGATTCCAGGAACTTCCCTAAACGCAAATACAGCTGATGCGGCTGGCCTGGGGTAAGGATGGATTCGCACGAAGTCACATGTCCTTCCAGCCGTGGGTTCTCGTGCGGGCCGGTGCGCCAGCCAGCTGTGTGCATCCAGCTAGGACAAGCATTGCGCAAGCACTGGAACGGCTTCGGGCGCGCAAAGACATAAGTACAATGCGGCCAGACGGGCCCGTCAGCATCAGCAGCATGAACGGGGTGCCCAGCGGCATCTGGAAGAAAATGCGGCTTACAATGCGCGAAAAACCCACGTGGAAGCAGGTCGAAGTCCCCGATGCTCTGCTACCAGAGCCTGCAGAAGGAGGATGGATCCCCCCTCACGGCCAACGGGGGCGACCACGACCACTCTGACATCCGAGATTGTCTGCACCCACCCTCGTCATCCACAAGCTTCTCCTCTTGACTCCTCTCCTTCCCGCCCCCTCTCCTCCGAACACAGATCGGCAATTGCTCCATCTGCCTTCTGTGGCACTCTTCAGACCAGCTTTCGCGAGGGCATTCCGCGACCTCAAGGCTATCTGTGTGTAATATCAGAGTGTATGCATGAGTAGTTATGCAATAAGCTTGTGTCGGAGAGTTGGGGCTGACAGGTTTTGCCTGCGCCGACCCGAACGATGTCTCAGCCCGCCGTGCCTTCTCCTTTCTTACATTCGCTCGTGTCTTGGCAGCCCCCAGCCCAACTGGCACCAGATTGGCTGCGATCAGTGCGTCCAGGCCGCCCAGATCGGGCCAGAGTAGATGCGGTCGGAGGATCGCCCCGCATCGCCGATGCATCGGAATTACAATGCGATCCTCCAGACCCGTTTGCACCAGTCCCGCGTGGGTGGCCTCCAATATATTTTTATAATGTTTGTCAACTTTACTGTTTTTTATAATTTTCTATTTTTCGTCCAAAATCCCCCTGTAGGAGGGCATGCCCGACCTCATCCTAAAGGGGGAGGAGGAGGAGGAGGAGGAGGAGAGGAGGTGGAGGAGGAGGAGGAGGTCCTGTACATCCTGGGAGGAGGGGGTGCGCGTGGAGAGGGGAGGCGGCGGCAAGGCCAAGGAGCCGCGGCTCTCGCGCCGAGAGGAGGGCCACGCCTGCAGCTGCAGTCCCGCGGGGGCGAGGCAGGGCGGGGGACCCCGCCCCCCCCTCCTCCTAGGATGTACAGGACCTCCTCCTCCCTCCTCCTCCTCCTCCTCCTCCTCCTCCTCCTCTCCTCCTCCTCCTCCTCTCCTCCTCCTCCTCCTCCTCCTCCTCCTCCTCCTCCTCCTCCTCCTCCTCCTCCTCCTCCTCCTCCTCCTCCTCCTCCTCCTCCTCCTCCTAGGATGAGGTCGGGCATGTCCTCCTACAGGGGGATTTTGGACAAAAAATCAGCATGATTAAAACAAAGGCTCCGTCGACGTCATCGGTTCGTTCGGGGTCGGCAGTAAAACCTGCCTGGGCCAGCTCGCCGTGCGGGCGGACTCCCAGGCCCGCGCACGAGGCGGCGAGCAGGGGCGGCCACCGCACGGAGGCGACCTACGCCTCCTCGGCACAGCGCGGTCGCCAAAACGGTGCTCTCCGGGCGGCTCGCCGGCGATGGGGGCGCGAGGCCAACCTCCATTTCTGCCGGGTCGAGTCGGCGCGCTGCGCCGTATCGTCGGAGGACGTCCTCCGCAGGAACGTCGAGGAGCTCGGACGCGCCTCTGGGCGCGGCGTGCCCGGGGGCCGCCGTCGACGGGCCGGGGCCAGAGCCCCGGCGACGGTTGGGCGGCCGATCACGACGGTCTCGGC